TTTACTGATTCGACAGTTTATTTAATAAACTATCGAATAAATAAAGCAAAACGTGAATTACATATGAATAAGAACTGGCATTCTGGTCTAAGCTTTTCCGAATTAGCCCGATCGGAAAACCCCGAAGGGTGATTTTCCTAGCAAAGATCCCATATGTTAATAATAATAAAATATACAATCTTATATATAAATACAATAATCATTTTTGTCTAATGCTGGTATTTTTTTAAGCGCGTTTAAAGATATTCTCTATCAATACTTTGACGTGTGGATAATATCAAATATGCATAATAAGATAGAGCATCTTACATTTAAATGATTTACTTTTACTTCATCTTTACAATCGAGCTTTATACAAGATAGTAATAGATATAGATTCCATTCTTCAGCTTCATCTACACAAATAACTTTATTTCAACAAATTTTAAGTTCTTGCTATTCCATTATTCCTAATAAAATGAGTTCTGCTTTAACGATAATGAGCATATCGGCAAATTTGCGGAATTGACCTAAATTAAGGTCCATATATTTTAACAATGTGATTGTAAAGTCGACCCCAAAATTTCAGCTATTATGCATTCTGCAATTGTTAAATCCAGGAACCTAATTTTAGATTCATTCTGCAAATCTGGATCGACCTATTAGTGAAATAAACATTTTCTCCCAAGACATTAATTAAATCATGTTTTGGCTGATAAATAAAACACGATTACTTTCAATCTACATTACTTTGCAGTTTTCAGCAGGTGTTCTTATTGGACAAAAGATACTTGAGAGATAAGGCCAACGTCAAAAAACCTTTTCTATATTTGTAAGATATTGGTCATGCAACGATATTATCATGGAATTTGTTTTGTCGGAGCAAATGGTTGACTGACAGAACAAATTTTATGATATTTATTATCGCAACCAATATCGATGTTATCGTGCAATTATGATCATGCTTTGCAAGTCATTATTGACTAACTGAGTTCCAACTCGGGATTGTTGTGCTTATGTAATAACGTACAAAAAATAACAAGAAAAAGAATCTATGATCATAAAAGTTTGCACGATTATATATAACATCACTTATATGTGTTATTGGGGAACATGGAATATTCAACTTACAGTAAGTTGATCCCGAATCTAAATATTAACTGATAATGTTGTACGTCGGAACAGAATCTTGGTAGGTTTAAAATCAACATAAGTTGATTCTAAATACACTTAAGTTGAAACAAACTTTAAAATCCATTCAAATCGTTAAAGAATTTCGAACAAAAAGTTTATTCTGACCACTTTGCGCATATTCAATGTTAAAAATTAAAACTTTTAATTTCATGTAAATAGTAATACATCACAAAGCTATTTATGTATATACAGTAGACCCTCTCAAAACCGATAACCTGCCAAATCTGATAAAAAATTTATATTAATCTAATAGTTTGTTATATTTTCAGATCCGATAACCTCTCAAAACTGATACAAAACTGATACAAAACCTGTCCACCGTGCATACCGATTTTGAGAGGGTCAACTGTATTCTATCGTATATTCTAGCTACACTAATTATTACAAACGCGATTATTGGGTTGACAGCTACTTCCGCGAGGCAATTTTGCGTTTTACATTTGCAGCGATTTATAATACCGATCTGTAACGTTAATTGTGCTAATAAAGCATCTCGCATAATTATAAATTTTGAAGGAATATTATCCAATCGGATTAGGCTTTAAAGAAAAATTTTAGCTTATGTGAGATATAATTAAAGTCTTTCTCTAAAAGGCTGAGTCCGTTATCTAGTTATAGTAAATCAAAATTTATTGTTAATAATTTTTTGGCTCGTCCCACTTTCTTTATTTTGTCTTTTTATATTTTTCTTGTGAAATACTTAACAATAGTTGAATTCTGTCAGGAACTGGTTCTTGTGGTTCGGTCCTTAATTTTAGCTCAGTCCTAACTCTGGCCTGACGGGGTTAGTTTGAACAACTTAACATTCAATTGATAACGTTATAAATATTTTTAATGGGAACTGATCAGTGAACACGAAATCGGTCTATTCATTTTTTATATAATTGGTTAAAATTTAAAGGTAGATTGTAATAAAGAGTATATAAGTGGGTTTTAATATGTTTAGTAAATCCAAATAAAGACCCAAATTTTTAGCTTCGCGATAAATATTTACAGTACTGTATTTCGTTTCACAGTCGAAATAAACTAACCAGATTCAGAAATTGATCCTCACAATACAGTAATAATGCTAAAATTAAAAAAATCAGCCTGTCGCACTCATTTTGCCCTCTCACAGATAATGAAACTAGAGCTTAACGAAAAAGCGCAAAACGTTTTTGGGGATGTTCGTGGAATAGTGAGGGTATAAATCTTTTGTCGCTTTCAAAGTTCAAATTTTCTAGATTTAAACTTTGAATTTAACATAATATACGTAATTTTTAATTTTTTTTTAAAAAAAGTCTGTAGTTAAGAATTCCAATGTTAGCGAAGTAAAAATTTAATATCTGCCTTTAATATTGTTTAAAACGAAATCATTTCATTTTATTAAATTGTGTTTCTTGAAATTAAAGGAAGTAATGAAAACTGCTAGGCTTCTTGCAAATCTTGATACGTCTATGAAGTCTACTCATCAGGTCTTTAGTTTGTTATTGTAAAATTATTAGATTCAAAAATACGTTGATTTAACATTTTTTTTATGGAAATTGTAGTCTTTACAAAAATTAACACAAGGAATAACCGAACTTCAAGAAAGGTGACAATTATTTTTTCTAGACGTTTTCTGATATTATAATAAATCCTTTTTTTTTTTTGACTTTTTATTATTTCAAGAAATACTCAGATACTAGATTTATTATATATGCTTCCTCAAGTATCCGAAGGATTAAAAATTGAAGGATTGATTAAACGTCCTCCTAATTCAACGTAAATTATTAGGTATAAATTAGGTAGGTGTATTTTCTAATACTAGTAAGTGTGGCTGTAAATATTTATATGCTGATGATGTTTATATAATTATTATTATTATTTTGTTACAGTAAAATCCGATAATGCAGAATTATTTTGTCAAATTTTCATAATCTTTCTATCTTATCGGTTCTCATTTAGAAGTTATTTAATGTTAATAATTACAGTATCTTTATCGTCATATAGAACCAGTCAACAATTATTGGTAGGTTGACATTAAAAGACTAATAAATATATCACTGTCTATTTGTATTTTGTATTTTAAAATGAATCAAAAATTTTCTGGATTAACAGCAATTAATGCAAATTACCGATAAACACTTTTCTTCATTAGTATAAATTTGAGTTAGAATTCTGTGCGGTGGCTATGTTTTAATAAGATATTCCAAAAGTGTTTATACAGTTTAAATACATCGGTATTGGAGAACATTTAACAGGGGATATACAATTAGCCAATGAGAAATCGTAATTAAGCGTAATGTAATACAATCAAGTGTAACGTACAAATCTAAAAAAAAAAACTTTAAATACTGTAACGATAAAAATTAACGCATAAAAGCTTGATGTAAAATTTATCAGAGTGTGGGTACAAAACTTTGCGCGAAATGTTTCATTTACAGTATACTGTATAGTATAGTGATTCTTGCCGATAACTAAATACTTGGCTAAACTTATTATTCGAACTAGTCTGTCGATTTTTTTTTTTCAAGAACGGCTGGTCGATTTTATAAAGCCATGTGAATATAAGCATTTGCCGTAAGTAGATATTTATTAAAAATATATTCAATCCAATGTTTTTCGGTTAAGCTGACTAAGTTATCTGTTCGGTTAGTCTTAAAATTTTTAACATTACCTTCGTTACCTATGATTTTATTAGTAAAATTTTGTGATCATAGGATAGTTTTAAACTATCCATCCAACAAAAAAAAAAAAAAAAAAACTCTTGTCGATCATTTAAGAATTTCCTTTTCTTTCAATTCTGTGCCGTTACCGGTTAAATTTGATTCACCACCCTCTGCTTCGTCGTCTTCGCCACTGCTGGTTTCTTGTGCACATTGACAACAACAGTTCCATCATCAAATACCGATTATTTCTACTAGACTTTTTTCTGTATTATCTACAATTTATAAATCAAGATCTAGATTTAAGTCTAAGAATCCATTAATCAAATTCTTGTAAGATTTATAAAACTTATTTATTTTTTCAACATACTGTTTTATTCACATACTCATATAGTATCGTTATTTGATTTTACTTTTAAGATTCCAGAATATTATTTCAACAGATCAGGAATCCAATGTGATGATATTCGAGCGTGGTTTCATAGCAATATTATTATCCAAGAAATACCATACACGAATGATTTTACGTCAAGACTTTTTTTTCATGCTTATCAACAGATTTAGAGAATGTGTTAGCAGATTCAAGAATTTGTTGCTGAGATTGCTGTAGATGCGTTTAAATATTACAAGAAATGGCCAACAAAGTGAAGAATGTTGAAATGGTGTTTACGTTGGTTGCTCCGGCGATAAATAATTATACAATAGTACTTGCGTTAATATATTAATAACTGTGGAATTTGCAGTAGTTGTATGTATTTTATTTTATCTTTAATACGACATTCCATACTGATATTTCTACCATTATAGTGTACTAACGGTCAGACCTGTAACAATTGCCAATATGTAACTACTAGTTGCTCCGACGACAAAACATTATGCAATGGTGACTGCGTTAATACTACGAATGATAATAATAACTGTGGAAATTGCAGTAAAAAGATATTAAACAAATTATGTAATTATTATTATTATTACGGTTATCTTTACTCATAAAAGTACCGGTTTTTATCGAGTGTCTTTATAGAATTGATATCAAATCGACTTTGACCTAGGGATTGGAACCGTTTAAAAATTGCACTATAGTTCCGGGCAGAATTATGTTGGTCGTGGGCCGGAATTATTTTAATGCCGGCCAA